TTTTTTTTGAAAAATATTAAATTTTACATTAAGTATATAATAAAAAAATATATAAGTAAAATATCAAAAAAATTAGTCTATTTATTATTAATTCATTTTAACTTAAAACCCTTATATTGAATCATACATACTCAAGTGATGGAAAGATTTGAAGAATTTTTAAATTGCAGGGATAGATCGGTGCTTTTTAGAGGAAGAAAGAGATACTTGTTCTCAAGATGAAATTATAATGAAGATTTTAAGCATAATCTCTTGTAGTATTCAAATCTTTCAAAAATCAATGAAATATCTTTATCAATAAGAAATTTCATTTTTAAAATCTAAAAATCATTCTTCTTAATGAAATCTCCTCTCTAAAATTCTCAACCACATTAATGCATTTATAGATTTCTTCTATCCTATCTTTTTCTTTTCCTCACTGGTAATTAATTGAGAGCTCAAACCATTGATTGTTCAATGCTTGGAGCAAACATTCCCGTTCTCTTACCAGTGGCGTGCACTTCCTTTTCATTTAACTTCTAGTTTGGTTGAGGGGTGATGATGAAGCTCAGTTCCTATTACCTCCTCTCTGGTTACCAATTTGAGGTTTCAACTGCCCCGAATATGGTAACATGGAAGCTCCACAAAGGGGTTGACCAAGCTGAGTGTTTCTGGACGGTTGTCCCTAGCACTGCGTTTTAGTTTACAACCCTTCAATATGGTTTTGACATTGACATCACTATTATATTTATCATTTTGTAAAGAGAGGCCATGTAATTCTGGATTCTTCAATCTTTAATAAAAAATTTTCTTCCGAAAAAAAAAAGAAAAAAGAGTGATTTTGGGAATAATTTTCAAATCCACCTTATTTTAGAAATATTTTCTAAACCACCTTTTCAAGAATGATGTTAGAGTCAAAGTACATAATTACAATGGAAAAATTAAGTTTTTGCAATTTAAACTAAATCATACAGTATAATATTAATCTTTAAATAAAAGTGAATCTTTTAATATAAGAAGCTTTTTTCTTATCTAATATTTTTTTATTATACAATCAAATGCAATCCACATTATAAAAAAAAAAAGAGGATTCATTACAAATATCATACTTTTTTGTTATTAAAATATGTTTGAGGAGAGCACATATCATTATAAATAAATA